CACTTACATTGTCTTCTAACTATATTTACACTATCTTATTGCTATATTTACAATAATTTATTCAGTGTAATTTATTGAACAGAGTGATATAATTTGGAAATAACACAAATATATACCAAATTTTTCAAAAAAAAATTACAATTTTTTTCTTTGGATTCTAGATATCGGATAAATATATATCAAATTGTTCACAAATATCATCAAATTTTTCACAAACTTACAAATTTACAAATTTTTCTATACCGAGAAGCGTGCATGACGAACTGCATGCGACGTGTCCTGGATCGGATCTCCTGCGTGCACGCGCCCAGCCAGCAGGCATGGCAGCCGCTGCTCCACTTTTGCCACGTACTACGCGCGCACGGATGATGGATGCATACACCTAACAATGGCGGACGCATCGGACGGCCTGGGCCATCGGCCGACGGCAACGAACGGTCCAAAAATCAGTTGATACAAGCTCCTAAATTAACCGGTTGATAGATAGCAATACTGAAAGATTATATTGCCTGTCACCTCATCACAAAAGCTTCCATTTGGTGCGTAGAAAAGGTGATGGAGCATGTGGAACAGAGGAAGGTTATGTTAATTTTGACGTAAAGTTCATCAAACCGGCACTCCTCATGCTAGACCAAATCATGATCTCTGGTCACACAACGACCTGTCTATGTGGCACTCCAGCGCCCCAACACCCGATTTTTGTTGGCACTGTTTTTCGTCCTCCTCTTCCACCTGCCCCCCCTCCCCCGCCACCGCCTACTGCTTCCACCGCGGCGCGGTAGGGTCTCGCCAGAGCTCCGTGGTCGCGGCCTCTTTCCCTCCCCCTCTCTCGCCCCTGCTTTCTTCTCCAACTCCGGCTAACAACCGCAACTCCCTCGCCCCTACCTGGCCCGCTGACTCTACACCGTCGCCAAGGCCCTGAACCACCCAGCCGTCGTCCCCACCGCCTGACCTGCCTACCACCCCTCAAACCCCTCTCTTGTAAGAGCATCTCCCAGAGTACCCAAAACAGTCTCCCAATACAGGAATTTTGGCAAGATCTAAAAAACCTCAAAAACTCATCTCCAACAACTCTCAAACCCACCTCCCAATTTTTTGGCACCTGGAAAAATCCACCCCCATGTGCGTAAAGTTTCGCGAGCATATCATCTGGAGGTGGAAGGACATGGGGAAGAAAAAAAGTTGGACAGAGTTCCTGATACAAATGTATAAGAGAGAAATAAAGTATAAAGATGGTTAGTGTAATTTAGAAATAGTTCAGGATTCCTGATGTAAAATTACCTTCTATCTTTTAGGCATGAGATTTTGGAAACTGTTGGACTTGTAGCTTTTTTATGTCTCCCAATATATTTTGCAAAGGTTGGAAAACCTATTTTGGGAGTATTTTTTTAGATACTGTTGGAGATGCTCTAAGCCCACCGGAGTTGGGGAAGAAAGGGTGGGGCGGGTGTCGGTCGCCGGAGTTGGGGAAGAAGGGGATGGGGCTAGAGCTGGGACATAGGCCGTGCCATTTGAGGGCGGGTCATGGTACGGTATTTTGGCACGAACCAAAGCACGGCACGCACGAAATATTTTGGGCCCTGCCGGCACGACACGAACACGAGGGTCGTGCCATGCCCAAGATCTCGGCATGGCGGGCTACATGGCCTGGTCCGCATTTTGGGCTGTGCTTGAAGTGGCACGGCACGAAAATGGCATGTGGACACTTCTACAACTCTACATGCAATTTTCTAGCATTTAATATACTATCTCTCATCTAGATTATGAAAATCATTAGAACTTCCATTAAAATAGTACACACAAGATATATATATTTCATACCACGAGTGGAAAAAGAAAACTAGCAGAGACTTTTTTGAGGGCCGTGCTTAGGCCGGCACGACACGAAAGCGTGCCGGCATGCCACGGGCCGTGCTTTGACCAAAGAAAAGATTTACCGTGCCATACCGGCATGGCCCGACGTGCCTCCCGTGCCTAGAGGGCACGACCCGAAGCGGCACGAAGCAAGAGAGGGCCGGGCTAGGCTGCTGGCCCGGCCCAAGTCCCACCTCTCAGTGGGGTGAGCGTCAGGTGCGGGCGTCGGTGGCCAGAGTTGGGGAAAGAGAAAGGGGTGGGGGAGGTGTCCGGCACGCGACGCATGCTCCAACAGCCAAAAAAAATTGTGTGTCAAAGTTTGGTAAAACATTCGGTTGGCGTATAGCTTTTCTCCTCGACAAACTCAATCCGACCTGCCAAAAGGAAAATCCAACCCGATCCAAAGTCGGCACGTTGGGAGGGGCCATTGTTTTTTTTTTTTTTGACCCAACCTAAAATTTAGGACTGATGCGGGCCTGATTTTTTGGTGTGCAACTGTTTCTTTTTTTTAAGAAACAGGCAGGACATGACAGGAGAGTAAAACAATGTTTTGCCAGCAAAGAAACTTCTGAAATCTGAACGCCAGTGCAGTCCATCCTTTTTTTAATCAACTGGTGCAATCCGACTACCTAAGCAACACCACACAGGAACCGATTTTGAACTGCTGGATCAAAGTCAGAGTGGGCCCACATGGGAGCGGTCCACCTAGAAGAGAAGTGGGACCCATCTGCATCTCCTCCATCCGGAAGAGATGTCGTCGGCTAAATGCAATAATCAGAGCAATTAACCATGAAATTTAATGTGGATATGGATATTATGTGTGTCTGTAAGTTGTCCTAATTCTGCAATGAAGATAAATTAGTCACCTCTTTCTCACCTCAGCAATTAACAGTTGACGACAAGCATAGAAACAATGGTCATGGACGAGATGTGAGCCTTTCTTGATGTGGATGATGAACATGAAAACATGGCACCACAACAGAGTAAGCAAATAGAGGCAGAATCCGACCCCAAAACAGGGCAAGCTGTGCTCAACATAAGCACAAGCTCGAATTATTATTATTATTATTTAATTTGGCCGTGTCATCATAAGGTAATGATATTACAACTCTTACGCCAAAGGGTGTGGATATTATATTTCATCCGCACTTCTGCTTGATCTCGCTGCCGAGCAGTGAAATCAGCATCAGACTCCTTTTCTTCCCTCACCGGGTCCACTGGCTCAGTAGGACACGAGGAGGTAAGCGCTAGGTCATTTTCAGACAGCGCAAGTGCTAGTTCATGCTTCTCTCGTCATACTCTATAGTTGCCCCCTTCAAGAGGTGGTATGTGCGAGATGAATGCCATTGGGTTGAGTCCTGAAAAACACCGTCAGAGATAGTGAGAAAATTATGACATCATAATTGCATGCTTTAATTTAACGTTGGTTAAAATTAAAACATACAACATTCTTATACACTAATTCTACATCACCATTGGGCAGAAATAAAATTAATGCATGAAAAACTTATGAATAAACATTATAACAATGTTATTATCAATGTTGGTCAGAAAAATAACAATATTATAATTTATTGACTAAAAATGACTACTCTTCAAAATAAATTCTCCCGTTGGTTCGAATTTAATTAGAAGATGATAAACTTTAACATTGCAGCGAAAACATGGAAAAATTCATTATCTATTTTTCAGAAGCATTTAACTTTTCTCAACTATTCTCTCAAAAATTATCCTGTTGCTTCAAATTTTGATAGAGATTTTAAACTAGACAAATATCATAAAAAATTGCTTCTGAAAAAAGAATAAAACTTAAACTCGTAGAACACTGTTCATTTGGCCCAAGCATCAAAACGGCCTAGCTTGCTTTGCTTTCGCGCGCGTTGTGCCTTCCCAGGCCGCAACCTGGGCCTGGGCCGGCAATGCCACCCGCCGCGCGCGCCCGCCTGGGCCGAATGTTGGCCCGTTCGCTCTCGGCCGTTCATCGCGGATCGACGGTCGAGCGCGCTCCACGGCGGATCAAAACCGGTGCGCGGCGTCCGTCCCCGAACCCTAGGCTCATTCGACTCCCTCCCTTTCGTCTCAAAGCGTAGCAGCGGTCGAGTGAAAGAGCGAGAGCGAAGAGAGGTGATGGCGCCGGCGCCGGCCCCCTCGCCGGCGCGCGCGCTCCCCAGCAGGTGAGCGCGCCGCCGTCGAGCGGTCTGGGCGACGGTGCCCTGATCCCCACACGCGCTGCGGTGAGAAGCTCCCGAAACCCTAGATCTGACCGGAGCCACCGCAGGTCCCATCGCCGAAGCGTGCGCTCCCCAGTGGGTGAGCGTGCCGCCGTCGAGCGATCCTATGACGGTGCCCTCGGCCGGGCTTGCGCGCAAGGCGGTGGGCGCGGCTCGGCTTCTCCCCGCGCGCCGACGAGGCGGCGGCGGAGCTCCTTCCCGCGCGACGGCAAGAGACAACCCACGCGATGGCGGTGATAACGTGCGGCGGAAGAGTCCAGGTAGGTCCTCCAACCATGGAACGGTTGGGCGCCCCCCATCAGGGCGCGGATCCAAGGTCCCAATTGGTTGGGTGGAGATCACCTAACACATACTTGATTCATTGGATCATAGCCTTGGTCAGATTTGGTTATGCAAATTAAGATCTGACATAGCTAGATGGTGTTGATATGGATAGGATAGTAGACAAAGAAACATTGTTGGGAAAAAAACTGAAGTATGAAGTGACTGTATAACCTTAATTGTTGGCTCAGAAAATCATAACCATGGTTAACTATGATCCTTTCAGTAATAACCATTTTCAAATAGATATGTACTGTGAACAGTTCTGTCGCAATGTTTGCTTAATTTGCAAAATTGGTGCTATGACTACAAATTAATTGAAAGAAAATTCCAAGCACATGGTGCGACGATCATAACTGTTACAGTTAGTTTGGAATTTCAAACATATAGCTACATATATATATATATAGAATGGTGTATTGGTCATTTTCAGGTTCAGAGTCTGATTTTTTTTTCTGCATATCATTAGGTAGCATGGTTGGATAAACCCATTTTGCCTGCGTACAACAGAAAGCCGTGTCCTTGTAGTGTATAGTAGAATGTTTTGTGCCTGTGCAGTAAACTTTTCTTCTTTGTCTCTATCATCAGGAAGCAATGTCGAGGCGACTAAGTGATGCTACAAAGGAACAATCCAGTAATGACGATTCATCTGTTGATGAGAGGCCAAAGCCTCGTAAGAAGATAGAATCTACCTCAGTAAAGGCAAAAACCACAGCTCCAAAAAAATACTTCACGATCCTAAATGGACTGACGGCAGCATTCCATTGGATGCATTTCCTGATAAACTCTCAAAAATTGGAAAGGTAAGCAACTCTATTTTATTGGCTCAGTCTCCATTTAGTGTTCCTGACTTGACTTGAGTTTCTAATATAATTTCTACTGAATTTCAGGAAGCTTTTGAAAGGAGAGATTTAGCAGCAACTTCTGCAGCTAACGCCCTGCAAGAGGCATTGGTCTCTGAATCTGTAATCAGGAATATAAGGTATTTGGACACATATATTTTCCCTTTCTAAAAACATAACCAGTGCATTTGTTCAGCAGAAAAGTGGTGCGATAATATCTTGTTTATTTCTGCCTATTGTTCAGCAGAAAAGTGGTGTGATAATATCTTGTTTATTTCTGCCTACAGCAAGTTCTCTGAAATCTGCACTTCGTCAAAGGTCTCCAATCCATTTCCAACAGTCGATCTTTTCCTGGTTGTCTACGAGGATATCAAATGGAAGACCATCTCTGAGTCTATGGTGACCAATGGGGCTGAAGAGGAATTCTTCGAGAAATCAACTAAGCATTGGGTTGGTGCTGCATTAGCCACTGATCTTGAGGTCCTCAAGCTGCTGAACGGTGCCACTGGATCCTTCTCTCGGACGAGGAGCACCAACAAGCCAAATGCATCTTCAGTGGAACCACCAAGAACAAGCCTGTCGAAGAAGCCAACACATGGAGCTTCAGCAAAAGTGCAGTCTAAGGTTGCACCAAGCTCTCCACTGAGGTGCACATGGAGTAACACCGAGAGCATGAGTGAGACAGCTGAGCTTGCCAAGTCCTTGTGGCGTGAGATGCATACGTGGTTCCTGACTTTTGTGGACGAGGCACTGGATGTGGGCTTCCACCTGTTCGAAGATCAGAACGTCGCTAGCAAGGGAAAGCACAGCAGCCACATAACGATGGTCCTCTCACAGTTCAAGAAGATCAGCGACTGGTTGGACCAAGTAGGGAAGATTGCAGAGTAGGAGAGGACCAAGGAGAAGATCGAGTGCTTGAAGCGCAAGATCTATGGGTTTGTCATTAGCCACATGGGGTCTGCATTCGAGAGCTCTGTCTCGGTTTCTTCCAGGAGTTGAGGGGATGCTTCATGCTCTGAAGCTTGCTGCTCACAGTTTCTGTTCACATTGGTTCTCCAAATTGTTAAGATTTAAAGGTTACACAATCATGTAGCCTGTTGGTGCAGTTCTTTGTTTTCTTTTGGGGTGCCTAATTTATGACTTGTTTCGTCATGTGAATAAATTATCGTATTATCATTATGGATTGCCTTATGTGTGGTTTGTCAGGTATGATTATGAAGAGAGCGAGGCTATCACCATTTCTTGGTTCAGTTTGCATTTTGTTGTGAGTTTGTGACCATATGTCCATGTCAGCCGTCGTACTGAGAGCTGTGACTATGCGCAGATTGAGATGATTATGCCCTTTCAAAGCAAAAGGCATATGCAACGGTAAAGACAATCATGCTGCTGCCTATAACTTTTTCTCTTTATGCAACGGTAAAGCAAAAGTCATCTTGTCAAATGTGTCTGGAGTAGTATCTCCAGGTCATGTTTTTCAGTTTTCACTAGGCACTGGTTTCCTCTGGTACTCAGTCCATTGGATGGGTGTGCAATACAACACAAAAAACAGAGATGTCTTTTCTGTAAACTAGTGATACAGCGCCAGGAAAACAGCACGCCCATTTCTTGGGTTCTTCAATTAATTCTTCTTGATTGCTCAATGTGCATACGTGAATGTTGCTGAGTTTACTTTGAGTATGCAACTGATGTAACATTTTTGAACAAACCAACAGCAAAGAAACTCCCGGGTCCTGAATGACATCCACTGAAGGCAACACCACACAAAAACCAACCGAATTTCAAGTGTTCCATCATCAAGCCATCTGGTAGACTGACAGTTGCATTCTAATTGGACTGTAAGATGAAAACGTTGAGCCATATATAAATGTCGGCGAAGTGTAAAATCTGAGCACTGAAATTAAACGTTGATATTTGTGAGGACCCTACTACTTTGTCCTCATAATTGGCATTCAATACTAGCGTTTCAAGAAAAGTTCTATAGAACATATTTTGACTAGTGTAGCATTTAATGGTAGTAGTTTATATTTGTAATCTGTAGCTGATTCATGATCATCATTAGGTAAAAAGTTTAGAAGTTAACCCTCCTTTGGTTGTTTTTGGGCTAATGTACTTTCTTTGTTTTCTTTTAGAATTTTTTCTATCAGCTAAATGAAATGGAGTTGCACACTGCCATGGCCATATGGTGTCCTTCGCCCACTACTACAGAATGGACTTGTTGTCCCGGGCGGTAACAGCCTTTAGTCCCGGTTACCGCGCCGGGACAACGATCCTGGGACTAAAGGTGGAACCTTCAGTCCCGGGTCATCGAGCCGAGACTAAAGAGGGACCTTTAGTCCCGGTTGGTAACACCAACCGGGACTAAAGGCCCTCCAGCCGAGCAAACCTGGCGCACCCTTTAGTCCCGGTTGGTCACCCCAACCGGGACTAAAGGTTCCTTTTCTTTTTCTTTTTTTTGTTTAATTTGTTTTCAGTTCAGTTACACGTATTTGTTTAATATATAATATGTTTTTATGTACGTATTCTACGCTGCTAATATAAATACACGCATGCATATAATTACATCTAATTCTCATCTTGAGCATTATTATATTGGAATAAAGTATGAAACTATATATATTAGATATATATATATATATGTATATATACAACACTTTCATAATCTTGTTCTCGAAAATAACGATATCAATAAACATTTAATTTACATCATTTATTCCTTAGGATCAAAGTAGAACTCGCCGTTGGGATTTAGCACTTTTTCTAGAAGATATCCTGCTATTGACTCTTGAACTGCTTTCAGATGGTCTTTTTGCTTGACCCTTCGTTTAAACCATTCAGTCTTGCATTTGAAATAAAAGGAAAAGTATTAATACACATATATGTATATATATTCATTTAAAAATAAATAAAATTGATATATCGTACTCGAGGACATCTTGAGGAGTTCTTCTTATGTCTTGTGATGATAAATTCACAAACGTAGTATCCACACAAGTTATTACACGGTTCTGCCGCCAAACACCACTTTATTTGCGAGAAGAAGATTATTCTCATCATCTCACACGTAAATTGAAGTTCGATATAGTAATTAAACACGTGGGGAAGTGTATATAGTACAACTTCTTTGGTATTTCAACTACATTAAGTGGTGCCTTGCAATCCTTGCGATGTTGCCGAATAAACTCTTTCCAAACCACGTATGCGACCAATAATGTACGATCGTTAATAAATTATGGCAAAGTCTATTCAATAATAGTTGTGCGCGAGAGATCGAAATTACCCCTGGATAATGTCTATCATATCTTGGTATAGTGCCCGTTCTTTTCTCAACGAGTCAAAGATTAGTAACCGACTTGAGTTTAACTCAATAACAATGAGTATCCAGTGAAAACTGCATTGATTTATACACACACGTACATGCATATAAGTTGTATTGATATTACATAAAATGTGTAGACTACATTATTATTAACACTTACTCAAAGTTGTACGAGAAAAGTATTGTTGTCTTATCGTGCTGCTTCACGAAGAACATCATGATATTCTCCTGTGCTTCAGATACCCATCGCTCCTTGACAATAATACCGGTTTTGAATACGATATAAGGATCAATGAAGCCAACATTGGTGTCTTGTATTCTTTGGAGCTCTGACATCTGGAATCTGTATATAAATATAAGTTACATGTGAGGATAATTATATACACGTACGCATGGAAGTGAGTTTATTAAATAAAAGTAAGAATCACTTACAAACAAAAGGAGCTAATGATTGATTTGTCCAGAGCGTCCATGTGGTATAGTTGATGCAATTCTTCGAAACTAATATGTAAGATGTCATCGCCATGGAAGTAATGATGGTCTCTAAATCTGACAAAGATCCAATGCTCACCCCTGCCACACGCCTGCATGTACCACTTGTTGAGCAAGTACATTTGCGTACCCAATTCATTCAGAGCCGCAGGGTTGTACAGACTTTTGCCATATTTATAAGTCTTCTAGGTATCAACTTCCAGGTTCTGGATTGGAGCTTTGCCCGTCAATTGATCCAAGGTTAAACCAGTATCTTGAAAAAAAGCATTAAGGGCTTGAACCGACACTTCTCGAGTTATGCGGTCGATAGACTTCTATGTTGGAACCATATTGATTAGCAACAACAAGATTTTGCATTGGTTGCTTACATTGTCCGAATTTGTGGGACATCCTTCCCGATGCTCTTTTCCTTTTCTTATCTCGCATCATGTGACTTCACGAGGGGCGGTCATAGTCGATAGTGGCGAAGGCTTACGAAGTTCAATCATCTTTTTCTCGTGAGCATCGACCTTACGCCTCAACACATCTCGTGGTATGTAAAAGCACGGCTTCTCCTTAAGCTTCGCTTGACTCTTGTTTTTATATCTATAAAAAATCTTTCACTTTTTTGTCTTCTTCAGCTGCTATTTGCTCATCAGTCTTTTCAGAAGTATTTCTTGAGAAATAACTCTTTTTCTCGGGGTCTTCTTTGCGCCGGGACCTTAGACGTCTTTGTAGTGCGTCATTTGTGGAGGGTGGGGGCGGTGTTGGAGACCGGCGTGGAAGCGATGAGGCGGTGTTGGTGGAGACCGGCGTGGAGGCGTTGGAGATCGTTAATGGATGCGGTGGGGCGGTGTAGGAGTTGGAGATCGTTGTGGAGGCGATGGGGCGGTGTAGGAGTTGGCGATCGCCGTGGGGATGAAGTCGTCTCGCCCCCCATGATTTGTGATGAGATGGGGAATGAATGATTAGGCTAGGTGGGGAGACCCTGCTACAAAAACAAGTTGTGTGTCAATTATTTTTGAAGCCAATAGAAAATTAATGGAAAATAATATTTCATTCACTTTCATTCGTACCTAGGGTGAGGTAGGGGGAAGCGGTGGCGCCCAGAATGATGATGAAGCGTTTGCGCCATTGAATAAATGTCTTCTCTGCTTCTCCTAGTGTCTTCTCCCCATCACCGCCTTCAATGTCAAGAGGAACATTGTTGTAACCTTTGAGCACTCTATCGACCGAGGCGCTAGCATATCCGGGTTGAATAAGCGACCCATGGATTCTTGGTGTCTTCGTTCGGTCTATTGGAGATATAACCCGATGACCACCATGATTGATGCATTATTACCATCGGAATGTGCAGCTCACATGTTGTTAGAGGCTCGGTAATGTCATCAATAGGGAAGCGCAACCCAGCGTCGTCTTGAATAAGCTGGCAGCTCCAGTAGAAGCACAAGCGCTTTCATCATCGACCAACGGGGCTAATGGTGACTCTCGGCGTTGATTGCGATTGCATTTGACTCATTGCTAGCTGCACTTGCCTCTTGATCTCCTCTGCATTCTTGCCTCAAGAGATTTTTCTCGTTCACGTGATTCAAGCAATGCTTGTCGTGACTCATCAACAAATTGCTCCAATGCACGGATTAGATTCGCCTCCTCATCCTTCTTTCTCTGGTGGCTTCAGAGGTATCCTTGTCTGCTTTGGGAATGCGTGTAGCCACGGAACCGCCCCCATAGCCGCTTGTTCGACCACCGTGTTCGGGATTCTCTAGGGCATATGTCAATTCATCCTTCTCTCTGTTGGGCTTGAAAACACCACTATCGACTTCTTCCCTAGCACGAGCTAGTCTCGTGTTGCTCTCTCAATTTTTGGCGAAAATTAGCTTGCCGATTATGCGGGTCTAGGCTTCCCCATGAGCGTGAGAACCAATTCTTCGTAGCGTTGAGGCCAGTTCTTCTCTATTGTTTTGTGTATGATTCCTTGGCGGTAATCTCTCGCTTCTAGGTTACGCCACTTGGGAATAGCACTCTTATAACCACCGATCCCATGCGATTATGGTATTGCTTACATCGGGCATTCTCGCCGATTCCTCGTCACACGTTCCTC